AAATAAAATTTAATTTAAAAACGTGAGACTTTTAAACTGTTAATAACTTTTGCAGAAAAGCTTACATTTGTTTGTACTATACCTCATTCTAAAGCGAATACATAAACCTTAATTCGATATTTGTATATAAACATTGACTTCCTTAGGAGCAATCCTGTGTCGAATATCAGAAATAAATTTTTTGTTATAAAAACTGTTAGAAACTTACTGAAATAACTAGAGTATGTATAACAGTAGAATGAAATAAGAAATATTATTTTTTTAAAAATGTCTACTAAATACATTACTCAAATAATAAATAATAACATAATTAAAAAAATAATAACTTAAAAGCTAATACAATAAACGGAATTTTATTCCAATAATATTTCTGTCTTGTATTATGATTTTATGTTTAAAGTTTCTGTTAATCTTTATTAGTACATTATAGACAATATTAAATATATACAGAGTATTAAATATAGACAGAGCAAGTTCACATAATCGAAATGTTCACTAAATCGTAATTTTTTTTAATCTCTTTCCCTAATTTTATTAATAAAATATACTTTTCATGAATAAAATCTTTAATATGTAACTACAAAAGTAATAACATAAAAATATAACAGTAGTTCCTATTAAATTTTTAAAAGTACATTTTTCATTTGTCTGATTATTTTGACTGTTATTAACAGCGCTTATCAAAAGCGCTAACATTTTTGCTTTTAACTATAAATTTTTGGAAAAATAATCTGTCACTTGCGTTTGAACTTTATTTCAAGCAAGCATTTTTATTAACTATTAGCTAACTATTAGCTTCTATTGAGCTAATAGTTAGCTTCATTGTTCACTAACACTTTCGTCTTCATGATCATTATCAGCTTCATCATTCTCAATGTCTTGAGAGGTCTTTGAGGTGTCTGGCAGTAGGCGTAAAATGCAAAATGGTAGATTTTTCCATAAAAAACCAAATAGACTTAAATAATGATGAAAGTCGGACTGGGATATCAGTCCAAACGTCGGTGGGACTGATGCAACGCAGTGATGCCGTAGTCCCCGTAGACTCTAATCACGAGAGTGTTGCTAGCGTAAACACAATTGAGGAGGAAGCTCTTTTTCGTTCTCCGGAGGAAGCCGCTAAGGCCGTTCGTTGGTCAAGGGCTGAACTAAATAAGGAGGGGTTAAGAGCCAAATCCAGATACAAGGCTACGATAAAACTCTGCGCTCGCCTCGGATACCGGAATGATCTGTCGAAGGAAGATAAGGACAGGCTAGTCTGGGCAAAAGAGGAGGTAGAGAAAGGTCGGGCCTTTTACGCGGATAAAAGGTGGTGCGAACCCTCTGATTCGAAATTTGCTAATCGGATCGAGGAGGATATGGTATGCAAAAGGCAGCTCTCAACGGAAAGCGAAGGTCGTTCTGGAAAGTGACAAAAGCGTAAAGATGAGGCTGCCCTTCAACAGAAAACTGCTACGAAGAGTATGAGAGCCGACATTATTAAAAGGCCAAAAGCGTCCACATCTAATGTAGCAACG